TTAAAGTCTGTTGTGATATTTTTAGCATGATTCTAAAGTTTTGTGTAAGAATAGAGTTTGATAACCTAATAAAACTTTTGTCTTATAGGGATATTAAACATTTTACGCTTAGCATAGCAAAAGCGGTTGCGGTTACTTCATTTATAAAACGAGCTAAGCAGAAGAACAAGAAATGGAGTAGCTTCAAATGTTTTGTTCGTTTATGTCTGATTGATGTAAACTTTAGATATAATCGTAGATTTAAGAGAATATGATAATTATCATTAGCATTTCTTAAAGAAAGTTAATGGCTATTAAAATTCATGCCACTACTAAACTTATGGCTGATTTTTCAACTCCTACTCAATTAAATTTTATCAGAGGAATAACTTCCTTATTAAAACTATAAATAGCAATATGGCAATAGGCTCACCCCCTATTACATGGGACTCATAACATAAATAGTGAAAAGTGTGTGTTACATTGTACAGTGGCATAATGTGCACCTCTGCCTACTCCTTCGGAGATAAAAGGCGTGATGTTATGTATGTATGTAAAACTATCAAATGTTAATTTTATCCTACAGTTAAGAATTATATGTTGATTGTAATTGGACTTTAGTAAGAAAACAATAGGGGTGAAACTACATCACAGTTAGCAATAGTCTGAATTATAAGAAAATGTATATATAGACTCTATAGTTAGACATTGAAAGCAACGGTCAATGTTATCAAACGAGGGTTTTGCCCTCCAGTATAAAATACAAGTCAATATTTTACTGTGATCAATAATGATGGCGCGACGGGTCTGTCTAACCAAGAAAATCGCTTTTATTTGGTTGTGAAAGACAATGAACATTTTATGCGAAACGAATTTAGGAAGGATCTGAATATTACATGGAAATAAAATTGTTGCAAAGGTTTTTGTTGATCAAAAGTTATCGAGTTCGAATCCTGAGTTGGGTTATCGTAATGAATAACCCGTGACGGTTCAATGCTAGACTATAAGGCTCTACATAAGGTGATTTGACCTAATCTCCACGCTTGGTAGACGGATTGATTGGGACCTATGGTTTTTTTGTCTTCTGATTTTTTGTTTTTTTTTTATGGGATAAGCCGATAAACGACCATACATATCACCTTATGGTAAGGAATCGGCGTCGCCCATGGACACCTGGAACACCAAAGGCGTTATAAGTATGTTCCGGCCTTTTGGGGATTAGGAATTTGAAGAATGTTGGGGATTTGGTGAAGTAAAACATCGTGAGGAAACGAGAAATTGTAAATTTCTAATGATAAGTTTGAAATCGCCAACCCGCATTGAGGAAGCGTGGTGATTAATGCATAAACCTTCTCCGTGTACTACAAATGCCCATTGCAGAGCCTTGCTCAGCAATGGGCATTTGTAGAATGTTGGTGTTGATGGAGATTTGGAGATTAGGGGGTAATTGGGTCTCCAGTAACCTCACACACACGAAGACAAACAACGCAAGCGTTGTTTCACGTCTGTTTTCTGTGAGGTCGTGGTATCACTCCGGTCGAGCTGGTCCATTCGCGTCAAATCATAGCTCTCCAACACTTAATATGATTTATTTCGTTATGGGATCCAAGATATTCATGTCCCTGAAACGCGTTTCTTTATTGTTCTAGTATTTTTATTGTTGTATTTACTGTAGAACCTGGCTTACAGGAGTTGCAAAGGTTTTGCGTAGTTGTGGCGGGTTTTTTCCCTAAAAGGAGATTGTAGACCACAAAGAACTGATGCCAGGTCTTTGCCAAATGTGTAGTCTCTTGCTTAACTTACGAAAACTGCAGGAAGAGTTGGGCTGGTGACCTGATCCTATTAAAAAAGCGATCTTCAACCTGACTGTTGAACGCAAGATTCTTTTAGGGTGCGTCTACATCTGGTGAACGCGCCGCGAATGTGCCGCTTGCGGTCGTTTGCGTTTGCGGGCTCACCGCGAGCTGCGCGCGTAATGTCACGGCAATGGTTTGCTGATCAATTCATACAAGGTACGTATGAATAATAATTTTAAATGCACTTGCGCGCTGCGCATTCTCCAGTTGTGGACACGCTCTTATATATAGTAGGCTCGTTGTCTAGCAGTGGACAGATTGTTGATATTGTTACTTAGCATGTTGTTTAAGTAACATAACATAACATCACGCCTTTTATCCCCGAAGGGGTAGGCAGAGGTGCACATTATGCCACTGTACAATGTGACACCCACTTTTCTCTATTTATGTTACGAGTCCCATATAATAGGGGGTGAGCCTATTGCCATATATCGGGCACAATTCCAGACTCCGTGCTATTACTGAGAATTTTTAAAACCCCAGTAATACTTTGCCCGACCCGGGAATCGAACCCAAGACCCCTTGCCCGGCAGTCGCACTTGCGACCACTCGGCCAACGAGGCAGTTGTTTAAGTAATTTTCATAATTAGTTTGATAACTTCAATATTGAGATGCTTGACCCTAATCAAACGTCGTTAATATCCTAGCAGTTTGAATAAATTAAAACTGTTTCAGTGCTCCCCTTCTATTGATAGTCCAAACAAATAAATGACACAAATAAACAGACATTTTGATGAGTTTGATAAAAGCTGGGTGCCCAATAATTCACCTTGATTGACGTCAGGAAATAATTTACTACAATATTCTTCTTCTATTTTGTTTCTATTTTGTTGACTTAGATTGGAACTTTTAAATAATTACCTCTATAGTTCTATTTTTGGAATACTTAATATCTGTTCTAATTTTAGTTCGGAGAAATTAACCTCTGTTTACCAGAGAGCTACAATTACCGAAAAAGTTGAAAATTTTATTAATAGCAGGGTAGTAAGCTGTTAATAGACTAGCATTCTATTTGTATGAGTTTTAATGTCATAAATATGTCGCGGTGGCCCGGAGGTTTAAGACCGCTTCTCATACATAAAGACGCGGGTCCGAAACCTACCAACGGCAAGTACCAATGTGACTTTTTACGAGTTATAAAATTATTTAGATACCACTGACAAACGGTGAAGGAAAACATCGTGAGGAAACCTGGGCTTATAATTTCTAATTATAAGTCTGTAATCGCCAACCCACACTGAGCTTGTGATTAATGCTCAAACCTTCTCCGTGTGAGAAGAGACAAGGTCAGCAGTAGCCAATAATAGGCTGTTAATGTGAAGATTTTTAATATTATTCGAGATTAGAATCTTTCAGGGTCTATTATAAAGGTACTATTAAAAAAATTTCATCAATGAAAAGCCTAATAATACTTTACTTACTAGAAGCGAAGCGAAGCCTTTGTTGGAATTTATTAGCGAAATGGTAAAATTAGACACTACAACATAATTTTAGAAGTCACTATCAACTTGAAAACTATGTCTTCTAATTTTAGACCAAAGAATGCCACTCAAACATTAAAGGATAATGGGTTCATATCTAATGATGGACACAGACATTCTGACCTTTCAATCACAAAATTTCCTTTGACCTTTAGTTGGACTTCCAATTTGTCCTGTGATTTAGTGGCCATTATATCGTGCTCGTCCACTTAGTGTGTCAGTTTGTTTCGCTGCATAGACTGACTATTGTGACGGTTGATGCTACTTAACTAAATTGAAAGAAATAGAACGAAACATGCAATGAAGCCCATTTGGTTAGGAGGTTTTTAATACTTTAAAGTCAGAAAGTATTATTGATGGGAAGGTGTAATCTTACCCTATTATTGATAGAATATAAACAAATGTATAAACTACATAACATAACGCCTTTTATTCCCGAAGAGGTAGGATTAGGTGCACATTACGGCACTTACCTAATACCATTGTACAATGTAACACCCACTTTTCACTACTTATGTTATGAGTCCCATGTAATAGGGGATGAGCCTATGGCTATTACCACATACCGGGCACAATTTAAAACTGTGAGCTACTACCGACAATTTTTTTTAAAAAACTCAGTAATACTTTGCCCGACCCGAAGTACCTATAAACTAAAACAGGATAAATCTCACTCCGAACTTGGAAGTGGTTTTTCCACTGTGCAACTGTTCAATTAGGTGTGATATCTCCTAAATACGAACACATAAGATCTGAAAATGTACCACGACTAAAGTAAGAATAACTTTTTCTAAACACAATAGAACTGAAACTAAATAGGGACTCATCAATGAATAATGATTCATGTCTTTAAGTAGACAGAATAATTCCCGGGAAAAACCCTAACCCGTCTCCATTTCACCTGATCGAACGCACCCAGACGTAGCACCCCTGCGACAAAAAGTCGCATATAACGTTGCGTGACTCACACTAAATACTGCTAAGGAATCGAATGAAATGGGCCATTACTGTAACCTGTTACGCAAGCTGTATCGTTCTTACGTAGCATTAGTCAGTTAAATTAATGATTTTGTACTAAATCTAATTAGTCTGATTGCGGTCGAAAGTGATTTGTTTTATTTTTAGGTGAGTAAAATATATTTGTGCATAGGCCTGATTTTTAGGAAGTTCATGTCTTATTTAAACGTCTCAGGGTAAATATTAATAGGCTTAAACTTAAAATAGTTTACTTAGGTATCTTCAGTTTGCACTATAATGGACAAAATTAATGAAATATTTTTGAGTACCTACTAGCTGTTGCTAGGGACTTCGTCCGCGTAGAATATGATTCTTATTTTATCCCATGAGAGCATTTAATCGGTTATTATTAACTATCTTGACACCTAAGTCAGCCCTTGCCCTGTCTGTATACCAAATTTCATCTGAAATCCGTTCAGTAGTTTCAGCGTGATTGACAAACAAACATTCAAACAAAGAAATTTCTACATTTATAATGTTAATGTGATTTTTTGCTCAAGTAAGCTTTTCAAATAAGGGCGGGTAAATAAAACAATATTATTTTATTGGTACAACAATAAGAATATTATTATCGTTTCGATGTTGTAAATAATACCTACTTAAATATTAAATTGAGAACTTAAATTACTACATTAAACTTTATTAGAACTTTAGTGATAATAATTAATCACTCTCCTTTAAAATGCTTGTGGCAATTTGTTCTACAATTGCTACAATTGGATTTGTCATTTGCATTCTCGAAGATATTGACGTTTCCAGTGAATCCATTATAAGATGTTCCATTGCCATTTACTGCCTTATTCAAATCATTTTTCACATAAATGTTCTCATTACTTATTTCTTTACCATTTTTCATGCCATTTGTTGCTTTCAAATTGGCATTTTTGGGAACATCGTTATTATTCTGATCGACTATGGCGGCAGTTTCCAGTTGTACTTTCTTTTGTTGCCTTGGTTTAATTATATAGGTTTTTATGTAGAAATCGACGAAGAGAACAAGCATGAATAAGTTTTGCGGCAAGAACATTGCGCTCGTCCATCTGGGGTAGGCGCAGTCACTTTTGAAGACTATTATCGCCATGTGGACTACACACCAGAAGAATTGCAACTGAAAATAAAAAAAAAGTTTATTATCAATTATAAAACAAATGAATGCATACTTAGGAGAGAGAATACAATCTGACAAGAAAAAGATTCGGAGTAATGAAGAAAAAGATATGCATTAAAAATGCAAAAGGAAACTTTATTTACGAAAGATTTCTTGAATAGTTATCGTAATTCAAATAATTGGTTAAAATTGTTCCTCAGATCGTTAAAGATGATTGCTTGTTATCAACTTAACAGATGCATCTCATGCAAATAATTTCACTGTGATGTGATGTTAATACGGTTCGAGTATTCAGTAAAAATATCAACAATGTTATGGTATTACAAGAATTTAGCAAACTATTAGCTGACCAAGTTATCTAGACATGTCAAAAAACATTTAAGATTTCGATTTTAACTTATACAAAACAATTTAATTATCTATATATATATAGTTACACCACTTATAACTCAAGAACAGCAGAAAATTGGTAGGGTGGTAGCTTAGAGTCAGGAGACCGACATAGGATACTTTTAAATCAATACTTTTTTTTACTTTTTACCGAAAGTCACGAACGGGGACGGGAAAAAATGGGATTACGCGTATGAAGTCGCGGGCAGAAGCTAGTTTACAATATTTTCGGGTTTGGAACTACTTTTAGTGTTTGCTTGTCTTGACTTGTCGCTTTTAACAAAATTCATATTACCGCAGTTCAAAGACGGGTTGAAGAATATCAATTTATTATTATACTCTTACTGTCTTCTATAGGGAACCTTTATCTTTTTTTTAAGGGGGGGAAAACATCGCATGACTTCTCCCGTATAAGTAAGGCAGGAAGGAGCGTCAGACTCTTACGGGCTATAAACCACCCTTTTCCTACTTCTGCACTTCGAGCCGGAGCCCCGGCAACCCGTTAAGTCCTCCGTCGCTCCTTATCGGCATCAGCCCTATTGGGCCCCATCTGTGGTGGTCTGATGCCTCTTGGTGGCGCACGCGTAATGCGTCGCGCGGTCGCGCCGTACGCTCAGGTCTGGTTCTGGTCGGGCGGCGCGCTACCCATGCTCGCCTTCCGCAGGCCCGTGCTCACGGTGGTCGGAGATCGTTCCGCGATCTCCGACGCCCAGCGTGCTCTTCGCGACGGCTGGGTTGCGAGGAGGCAGTAATTCGATGCGGCATGACCGCCTATAACCTTTGGCAGGAGGCATTTGACACCCCGAGGTTGGGTAGGAGGCGCTTCAGCGCCGCTTCCGTCTGTTTTAACTTAGAAGCCAAACGTCGGAAGTGCTGCATGAAGTTCGACTGTCGAGGACGAGTCCCAGGTACTTTCTTCATCGTCGTGTCGATGGCGATTATAACCCCTCCCGCCGTTATTTGGGACTCAATCGGGAAAATAAATTGGGATCCTTTAGATATACTCACAATTTGCAATTGAGTGACGTGTTTCTTAACACGAAGAGAGTTCTTGACGCTGGGCATGACGACTGACAGTAAGTAGTAGGCATACATCACGACGTGAACGAAGGAATTTATCACGCCAATTAACGTTCCATGGCCGCCTGGAAAATGGAAGAAAATTTTTTTATTATTTTTTTAATAACGTTGCCTCACGGTCTTATTTTCTCCTGTGACATGGGTGCGTTTACAAACATACAAGTTCACATACACATGACACCCAGACCAGAAACAACAATTTGTGGATCACACAAAAAGTTGCTCCACGCGGGAATCGAACCCGCCACACGTTGCGCGTTACGCGGCAGTTGGTGGTCTAGCCACCGCACCAACCACGCGGTCAAAATTTTCTATACATTTTATTACATTAACAGTTCTTGAGATTAATAATCTGCGTTGACTTCACAAAGAAGTTTGCTATAATCAAGTGGGTTGAATTCGCAGTAAACGAATATGATTTAGCGAAGAGCACTATTGCTTGAGATGCATAATCTTTTACGCAATAGTAGTAATAGTAGGAGTTATAGCGCTATGTACCTACTCAAACAATTAAGATTATAGTAGCTTGTTATACACTACTGTACTGTACTGTACTTGGTACAAAACTCAATTTTACTTACTAATAGCGAATATCACTAACGTATGAAGTTGTATTACAGTGAAATTGAATTAACTTAACCTAGCAACATTGTGGTATCCACATTGTTTTTTATGCACTAACAACAAATTAATTATAAACTACGTAAAGGCATTAGAGACATTCCAACACATAGGTAACCTATTTTTTGTCAAAATATGTAAATATTTATTGTTTCTAAATATAAATCAATGAAAAGCAGTACCGCTTAATTACTTGCATCAAATTTGAATTTAATTTCAGTGACCCCGGTTGTTTGTACTCTAATGAAAGTGTCTTCAGCATTACAATACAGTACCGTATTCACGGTAACCTTAATCTCTTGTCAGAGTTATTTGTCAGAAAGAAACGTTGGCTACGTTCTTAAACATAACATAACATAACATCACGCCTTTTTATCCCCGAAGGGGTAGGCAGAGGTGCACATTTCGGCACTTAATGCCACTGTACATTGTAACACCCACTTTTCACTATTTATGTTATGAGTCCCATGTAATAGGGGGTGAGCCTATTGCCATATACCGGGCAAATTTTTCCAGACTCCGTGCTACTACTGAGATTTTTTAAAAACCCAGTAATACTTTGCCCGACCCGGGAATCGAACCCGAGACCCCTTGCCCGGCAGTCGCACTTGCGACCACTCGGCCAATGAGGCAGTCTTACGTTCTTAAAATGTGATGCAATATTTAAAGTAAAGGTACCTTACACTAAAGCTATGAATTGGTAGGATTAAACCCATGTCATGTTAAGGTTAATGTCTAGTATCCTGTGTAAGTCTGACTGGGGGAGACAGACATCCTCTGTACAGGCGAGAGTAGGCGTTAGCTGCTAAGGCCGCTATTGTGGCGGGACCTGCCATAAAATGATAGGTCGAGGCCTGTCGAGTGTGATGATTCCGCAAGGAAATACAGGTCACAGTTACAATCAGTGAAGGAAGACCGCGGTGGTTTTAGTCGGTAAGAGGCACGCTCCCCATCGCACTCTCGACGCGGGAAATCCACGAGCATTTTCATAGCGGTACAAAAAATAAAATATAATTATTTATGTATACCTGGTAAATAGGTGACAGCACCCCATATGAGCAAACACATGCCAGTGTGGTGGTATATATGAAGGAAGGATACTTGGTTGTTTTTCTTGCGAAGCACGAAAAATACCTGAAATTAGATAAAGATAATAACTATATATAACTATAAGGAAACTCTCAAAATTATCACAATGATCCACGAAATATCTATAGAATACCCAGCTTAATATAGAGGTACTATTTGAATTTTAAGACTATCTATAAAATAAGCGAACTTAAGGGGCGAGTAGAATACCAGTGCAAGGTCCTGTCTTGCAAATGCTGAACTGGTCACATGAACATGTACTCATCAAGACTAATATCTAACACGTCTATAAATCTGTTTATATTACTTGTTTTTTTTTTCGATATTCGATGACGACGTTAAGTGTTAATAATGATAAGAATAATTATTTTATAACTACGATTAAAAAACCGACGTCAATCAACTCTTGTTTTAAGTCTGTTAATATATTAAAACCTTCTCCTAAGTGTAACAAACACAAAATTGGTTCATACAATACATGTCATACATACATACATACATACATACATACAGGTCAAATATATAACCTCTTTTTTGGGTATCAGTTAAAAAAACCCCGCGCAATTCAATTCAAAACAGTTTTCAATTTGTATAGGTTCTAAATAAATACTTATTTTAATATCATAAAACAAATGTTAGAAAAATATTCTAGGAACTATCTAGTTTTTATATCCGCTAAGATATCTGGTTCTATTTTTATTTATTAATAGCGGACCCAACAGACGTTGTCCTGCATATACACTTGAATGTATAAACAAAAATTCATTAAAATTAGTTCAGCTGTTTAGGATAAATAACTTAAACTGCAGCGCCATCCGCCGGGCTGATTTGTGAACCTAAACCATTCCCAGATCCCCTTGAACACACAAAAAAAATTTCATTAAAATCGGTCCAGTTGTTTGAGAGAAGTTCAGTGACATACACGCTCACAGAAGAATTATATGTATAAAGATTTTCAAGTTTGAGTTTTTGTATAAATTAACTCTAAGACCTGTAATTATAATCTCTGACATGAAATTCCAAACTAAACATGATGTTAGAATTGTTTGACATCACAGGTCACTGTTGCACATATGAGCAAGGCTAGAATATATTACCTTACTTAATTCAGAATGTGAATTAGAAATAGACTAAGGTATGTAGTGCATCTGCGTTTTTTGTAAACAATACCAAGCTAACACTATGTGCTAAGGTCGGTAAAGTTTTAAACAATTTTATATTAAGGAGTTTTTACTTAGTGTAAAATTGTTCAATAATAATAAGAATTGTTGAATCCGCTTAGTGAATGATTTTTGTTTTGTAAAAGCAATAAATTGTTTACTGATAATCTACTATATAAAAATAAGTCGGGTTTTCCTTCCTGACGCTATAAGTCCAGAACGCACGAACCGATATCCACGGTTTTGCATTCGCTGGAAAGGTCTCGGGCTCCGTGAGGTTTATTGCAAAGAAGGTTCACTTTTAATCACCAAACGAAATGTTATATAAAACGAAGCCATCTGGTGGCGAAATGGAGTTCGCCGAGTTAACTAGTAGTAGATATTATTCTATCATTTCATTAGCAAATAACTCTGTCTGTGGACCATGGACAAGACTTCATTTTTCTTAAGCTTTGAACCTTGGTATTCTTAATTGTACCTATATCTCTATTATTTCTATGATACCTTGGTTTACCCTCGCTTTATATTATATATTACTGGCTTTTACCCGCGGCTTCGCTCGCGTCACAAAAGGATAAAAAGTAGCATATGTGATATATACCAATACACACAGCGCCATCTATACCAATACTTTTGTTTTCCCTCGGGAATATTTATTTTTTCCGGGATAAAAAGTACCCTATTATTTAATCCGGACTTCGAACTTTACGTCTGCAAAAATTCAAAGCAGTCGGTTTAGTAGTTAGGGCGTGAAAGCGGAACAAACGAAGAAACTCACTTTCTGATTTATAATATTAAGTAAGGATTTTTATTTATTGTAGTTTTTAGTTAATCTTATGTTATGTGTGTTCTGCGCAAGAATAAATGGCTTTTCTTTATTTTCTTCTTTCTTTCTTTCTTCTTACTAGTTGTGATCTTAGTGCTCGAAAGGCTGGCTACTACTACTCAAATGTTAAGCATTGATATTCAATGCGGCAAATTTTACATAGGCACCCTACCTCATGATAACGATGAGGATAATTTTTTTGATGCCTAAGCTTGTTATATTATTAACTTTATTTTTAAAGTAATTTTAAGGTGTGAAATAATTTGGCTTTTAGTTATAGGTATTTTAATCATACGATACGCGAAATAATTGTTTTGATAATGATAGGTGTTAATCATCCAAAGTAAAAACTATATCATAGAATAGAGCAATTAATAACGTTTAATCAAATGCAAATATAATAAATAATATTCTGAACAATTAGGTGCTAATAATTGAGGAATGTATGTTTATGAATAGAATGTTCTATTAATATGTATTAATGAATACAATTAATGAATATGCCAAACGATTTTAACTAATAGAGGATTCTAACCTCGAATTGTTTAATTAATATTAATATGATATAGAAATATGAACCAAATTATTTTGTAGCCGTAGGTCTATAATTCAAATTATAATATTTTATATTAAAAGTTTATACACTACACGACTACTACTAATATTATTCCCATTTATCATCACCCTCGTCATGAGAGCTATTTTTTTCTAAGACTTTCTGTCTTTTTTACGGAGTTAGTATCATTGAATGACTGCTCCCGCCTGGATGAGGTAGGAGGGAGTGGCAGACTCTTACAGACTAAAAACCACCCCATTGCTACTCCTGCACTTTGAGCCGGAGCCCCGGTAACCTTTTACATTCTCTGCGGCTTCGTATCGGCATCAGCCCTATTTGGACCCATCTGTGATGTTCTGATGACTCATTGAGGCGCGCGCGGATCACGGCGCGCTGTATGCTCGGGTACGCGCCGACTACCGCTGAATATTGGCCCCTCTCAATAGATCAGTTAGTTCGAATTTATTTTATTTATTTGTAATAGAAAAGTAACGAATTTTAGTTAATAGCAGTTTAAGTTAGTAGAAATAATGTTGATGTCTGTTAGTTGCATATCGTGTTGTGTGTACATACTTGTGGAAGCATGGTCTGCCATTTACTGTTTTATGTTGTTACTCTGTTGTGTACTGCGATGTGTGTCTGTTTTGTGTACCTATTGAATATATAAAAATCAAGAAGGTGCAAGGTACAGACGCATTAATTACCGTTTTCACCAACCACCCCTAAACAATCTCTTAACTAAAATTTGGTTAGCGTGAGGAGCACCTAATCTATCCCCGAGCCTGAATGTTTAGCGTCACATAGAGTCAGTGAAAATGGGCAAGGCATACGTGCTAGGTTTAAGATTAAATAGTTAAGTTTACTCACTGTGTCAAGCAGATCAATGATTTTTAGTGAAAAGTAGTAATAACAAATTTTCGCTATTTCCAAGCCCTGTGGAGAGTTCGAGAAGTCAACCGGTTCACAAATCCACTTGTAGTCCCATAGCCATGCCACCTGCAACGCCTGAAACATTGGAACTAAGGTTATTATTTGTATTGAAGTACTATTTAGGTGCAACCAAATCTCGAGTCAAATAATTATACTGGAAAATTAAAGAAATGCAAAGGAATTTGATTATTAATATTTATACAACTTAAAATATAAATAATTTAAAATTAAATATTTACACCTTAAAAAAATAAAAATATTTCATAAAGCATCAAAGAAAACATTTTCCTCATCGCTACCGTGAGGTAGGGTGCCCAAAAGACTGGCAGCATTACCACGTTGAATGGCAATGATTAACCTTTGCCCAAGGTAGTAGCCAGCCCTTCGATCACCTGAAGTTTCAACCATCCTCCTTACAATATCTTTGTAAAGATGTGCACTTGGGCCCCACGGCCCTAAAGTTTCAACCCTAAACGGTTCGAAAGCATAATTGCCAATCAGGCTATTATACTTTCGCCGTTTGAGGTTCTCGGCAGCAGCAGCGGCAGCACCGGCTCGACACGCTGAGCTTGGAAGATGGGACGGCTCCAGAGTATCAACGCAAGCGGCGTCCCATACTAAAGCCCTACCCATCTTCCAAGGGAATAATGATATACCGTCCGGTCTCTTGCCATCTTCGCGTACCAAGCCATTAGGTTCTAAAGTAGCTGACACGCCAACAGAGGCAAGAGCTCGACGAATAATGTCATTAATACTTGCGTGTCGAGCAAAACGGCTACATGACAAGCCACATGACAAGCCGTGGTGTCCAAGGCTGTTGACATCTTCACCACAACGACAACGATGAGGTAAACAAAATGAAGCTCCAATCCTTAAACAAATTGCAGCGCGGAACGTGGTGTCGTCCAACAAAGTACCTAGGTTAGACGAAGGTGAAGCAAGAAGCCATAACCCCGATTCCCACTCACCCACAGCCAAAAGGCGAGCTCTCTCTGTAGTTGAACAAGAGGAGTTCAAGAGATTTTCGCTCACTTTTCTGCAGAGCGGCTCGTCCCATTGTCTCTGGGAGAGTGAATGGGACAAACACACATACATACATTCAACTTTTCTTTTTGAAGTTATTTAAAAAAAACACTTACCCTAATAAAAACGTACGCACAAGCTACAACTTGAAATGAGTTATACACAATTAGAACTTTATCCAAATTGTATGGTTGACGATTCTTCATATACTTGGGTCCCCATTCTAAGACGAACATCAAATATAGACCAAGTATTGTTATAGTTTGATAAGGTTTGGCAATTAGGAACCAGTCTCTAGTCCTGGGATCTGAAAAAATAAATAATAAGGCGATGACTTTGACTGCACGGTTGGTGCGGTGGCTACGCAACTGGCTGCCGCGCAACGAGTCGCGGGTTCGTTTGGGACAACTCTTTGTGTAATCCACAAATTGTTGTTTCGGGTCTGTGATGTGTGTGAATTTATATGTTTGTAAACGCACTCACAACACAGGAGAAAATTCTAGTGTGGGGCAAGGTTCTTAAAAAAAGATGATGAACGTTATAATTTTGAAGGAGATGACGATGATGATGATGTCGATGGAAATGACAAGTATAACAATAGCCTGTGTTAATGATATAACTATCTGTTGATTAAATTTCTGCCAATTCCAATAATCTATCCCACAAGGACGCTAAAAGAAGGCGGACACAGTCTCTTGAAACAACGACTGTGGCACCTAGCCACTATACATCTGAATACTCAAACACAATTTTAAATTATACTTAAATATCGTGCCATCTCTGTCATTTTACAAAGAATTTATAGTGACAGAACTATGGTTAACCCTTTGAGTACCGTCATTATAGAGAAAATTAAAAAACAATAGGTTGCGGTCACTGGTGTCGTCGCGGTGTTTGACAGTTTAAGAGCGACTTAAAATTTAGTAGCGTTTGAGTATTTCAGCGATAGAGTTACACGCAGAACATAAAAATATTCACACGAAGGATATCTGTCATTTTCTTAAGTCTGCTAATATGGTAACTCATTACACACGCATACATAAAAATACTCATACATTTTGGCGCTTCAATCATTTTTAAGTGACATTCCCAACCAGTAAAAGTTAGTTGTATCTAAGACCATATTATGTCCGCCTTTTTTCAACGTCCTAGCTTTTTTATACCAATATAATAGTACTAGCTTCTTCCGCGCGGTTTTACACGCTCTGCTCAGCTCCTATTGGTCGTAGCGTGATGTTTTATAGCCTATAGCCATCCTCGATAAATTATTCAAATCAGACTTGTAGTTACGGAGATTAGCGCGTTAGTAGCGAAACAAACAAACAAATAACAAACTCTTCCACTTTATATAATAGTATAAGATAATATAGCCACTTATCTCAATCAATATCTGTTGATAAGGATCGTTCTTTGACAAGACATTCACATATTAACATAGACATCGAAATTGGCATTAAATGGAGACATGGAATTGAATCACATCAGTCTGTACGGGGTTTATTTATTTTTTTGGACAAGCCCGCCACAACCTCCCGAATCCGCTGCAACTCCTGTAAGCCAGGATCTACAGTAGAATCATGAAAACACCGGAACACTGAAGTCCGGCGCGTCAAAGTGAATCAGAAGATATTATAAGAGGAGAAGAAGAAAAAACTATAGTTTCCACTTCCCTCTTACTGCAGGAGAATGAATTAAGCCTAAAGGCACAAAGAAGAGACTGTACAACTGGGTGAAGTCCAGATGGACGGGGATTATGTCAAAATTCACTGTAAAAGATAGACTGCAGTCTATATAGTGATACCTACACTTATTATTTAGAGTCCCACGTCAGTCACCGGCGCCTGACGATAGTGGAGGTTTGCTTTCGCTATTTTAAACTTGGCAGTTGAAGTGTTGTGATAATTATATAGTGCGCAAAAAAATGGAAATTTTAATTTAAATAACAATAGAAGTCATGACCTACTAATACGATTATTATCCAAGGTTATTCAATTAAAAATATAGTAATTTATTATTGTTGATGTATCAACAAAGTAAGTTAAGAATGTGGTTAAAGCGTTTTGATTAAATAAGAGATTAATAGAATCAATACCGTATAATTAGCATAGTGTTTGCAATTAAAGGTTATATTTTACCTCGATACCATAGCGGTTGCTCAACCAAGCAGGACAGAGGACACTCTTTATAGAGTTGTATATATTTTGTTGGTAGCGGCAACTGGTTGAGCCGCCTTGGTATCTCGGGGAAATATAACCATTAGTTGCAAACACTATGCTAATTATACGGTATTGACAGTACACGTTACAAAAGTATTAGATGAGCTTCATGTCCTATAATGTCTACACTGGCAGATGCGTTTTAATTATTTGAACATGGTAAAGGTGATTTCCTGCCTAAGACACAATATCCTTATCTCATATCAGTGATTAACTCGTCGAGTACCGTATTTATAGACACAATTAAAGAACAATAGGTTGCGGTCACCGGTGACCGCTTGGTGTTTGACAGTTTAAAGCCGACAACTATACTTGGGAGTAAAAAACAGATCCAAGAGCGCGTTTTAATTTCTTTGTGAAATTTTATGATACAAGGTTGTGTTTTTTTGCTTTATCCTCTTTCAGGTCAAAACAATTGAAGGGATCGAGATGAAATTTGGAACTTTAGTACATTATAGTCTGGAATAACACATATGCCACTATTTATCTTATGGAAAAGCGAGGAAGTCGCGCCCAAAAGCTAGAATTTCTATATTTGCTGCGTCTCTTTGTTTATTTGTTGTCTGTGCGTGACAAAAAAATTTTAGAAACATGCTTACCAGGTAATTCCTGGAATACGCGTTTGTATCCTTGCCATAGTAAGTCAATGATAGCCGCCATTTTAGTTTATTATATCGCTTCTCTTCTTTCTTATTCCTTTCACTTTCTATTATGTGAAACTGTCTTCTTCCACGGATGTTTATCTTCAAAATGGATTTCGAATTCAAACACACTTTCCTTTGTTACTGTTTAACAATTATTCCAAAATTGTCCTAAGTCACAGTTCATAATTTGATTTTTATTCTCTTTTTGGTTGTTTTACACTCGCATTTTTTACGACCATTCCAGACTGATTTCTTTTAAACAACTAATACGATGCTAGTACAATTAATACGATAATAGATTCAGTGTTAAGGGGTATAAATATATTTACATTTTCATTAGTTATGTTCTTATTATACGTTCGATAAACGTTTAGCAGTAGTCCAACTTTGTTATTATAAATTTTCCTTCGTCTTTACAATCCATCGTTTCATTCTTCCATTGGTCATCTATCTTCTACTAGCTTCTGCCCGCGACTTCGTACGCGCAATCGATATTTCCCGTTCCCGTTCTTGATTTTCGGTAAAAAGTAAAAAAAAAAAGAATTGGGTAAAAAGTATCCTAATACCTACTACGCATAGATCAATTATAAATAATATGTATGATGATATTGTGTCGATACTTTCCGAAGCAGCAGAATATAGCTTTATTGTGGCGAAACGAAGGGGTAAATGTGTTACGGGTTGGAATAAATATGTGCGCAGCGCTCACGAGAAGGCGCGACTTTGTTACCAGGTGTGGTTATCGAATAATAAACCAAACTGCGGTACTATCTATAATGACATGTGTGTTTCGAGACGTTATTTTAAGTCAAAATTAAAATGGTGTCAAAACAATCAGCAACAAATTAGAATGGACATTGTCGCTGAACACCATAAAAATAAGAAATTCAATAAGTTTTGGAAATTGAGTAACCAATCAAATCCTAGACCTAGCCTTCCCGTGAGCGTAGCTGGTACCCATGACCCAAGTGATATTGCAAATGTTTTTCGGCATCATTTTAAAGTACAATCGCCTCTGGGGCCAGCCTCGTCAACGTTGCTCGATGCTGGGGGTCTTGCATCGGAGCTGAGTGTTAGATTTGCCGCAAGTGAAGTGGCTTTGGTAATAAAGAAAATGGTGAGCGGAAAGTCTCCGGGGCATGACAGCCTCAGCATCGAGCATCTGAGGTATGCTGGAGTTCACCTTCCGAGAGTACTGTCGTTATTTTTCAATATATGCTTGTCTCATTCCTATTTGCCTGAGAAAATGATGCATACCATCGTAGTCCCTGTTATTAAAAATAAAACAGGGGACTCTTCAGATGTCACAAATTATAGGCCGATCTCTCTGGCTACCACTATAGCTAAGGTACTGGACGGTCTGATTGAGCGACACTTGGAGTCACACCTGAACTTGGATGATGCACAGTTTGGATTTAGGTCTGGACTCTCAACCGAGAGTGCTATTCTGTCGCTCAAGCAGACGGTCCACTATTACACAGCTAGAAAAACTCCTGTCTATGCCTGCTTTTTAGACTTGTCAAAAGCTTTTGACCTTGTATCTTATGACAAACTATGGAATAAACTACAGGATACTAGTGTACCCGGGGAGATCGTTGCTATGCTAAGGCATTGGTACAGTGCACAGAAAAATCAGGTAAGATGGGCTGGTACTCTCTCGGAAGAGTACAAACTGGAGTGCGGAGTGAGACAAGGGGGACTCTCCTCCCCTCTTCTTTTTAACTTTTACATGAACGAGCTGATTGGGGGGCTCAGAAGCGCCAGAATCGGCTGTCATATAGATAGTGTATGTATCAACAATATAAGCTATGCTGACGATATGGTGCTCCTGAGCCCCTCCATCTGTGCGTTGAGGGAGCTCATAAAGATTTGTGAGACTTACGCAAACACCCATGGCCTTAAGTACAACTCAACTAAATCTGAGCTCATGGTATTTAAATCGGGTACTAAACACTATGATAATGTACCTAATATAGTCCTGAACGGTACCCCGTTAAAAAGAGTTTCTAAATTCAAGTATTTAGGCCATTGGGTTACTGATGATCAAAAAGACAATACTGACATTGAGAGAGAGCGCAGGTCCTTGTCTGTCCGGTGTAACATGTTGATTCGCAGGTTTGCACGCTGTAGCACACAAGTAAAGAAAACACTGTTTAAGGCTTACTGTCAATCCTTTTACACCTGCAGCCTGTGGGTTGGCTACTTGCAGGGGGCATACAGGGGCCTGCGGGTGCAGTACAACAATGCTTTCAGGATGCTGATGGGGCTACAGCGGTATTGTAGTGCCTCGGGTATGTTTGCCGAGGCCAACGTTGACAGTTTTGCGACAGTCATGCGTAAACGTTGCACGTCGACCCTAACTCGCATGCGAGCTAGTTCCAACAGCATCTTGAGCGTATTGACGGACCGATGGGATTCCCCGATGCTTGAGCGTTGGATACGACTGCACGCAGTCAAATAGAATACAGTGATGCGTTCTGGCGTGAGATTGGTCCTACGATCTATGTATTTTTAATTAAATTTTTGACTATATTAAAAGAAAAACTAAGTTCTATTGGCCTTGACCTAAATTTATCAAAATGTGAACTATACATTCCTGACTCTACAGACAGACTAACGACTCTAGCAAAATTTAATCAAATAGCTCCAAATATCAAAATTATTGATAAGTACTCACTTCACCTCCTAGGTTCACCAATATTCGATGAATGTTTTCCTAAATTCATCGAGGACAAGATACAAAATTTCAATCACATTTCGGATAGATTACACAAAATCAACACACATTCGGCTTTCACCCTAATTCGGTACTGTTGTTTTGGACCAAAATTTACTTATATTCTCCGCGCTTCACATCTATGGAAACATTCACACATTTTAGAAAACGTAGACAAAATTATCAGACACACATTGTCATCCATACTTAATGTGGCTTTGGATGACCGAGCTTGGCAACAAGCTACTCTTCCTATTCGCATGGGAGGGCTCGGCGTCCGCAAAATTTCAAGTATTAGTTTACCAGCTTTTCTGTCTTCGGTCCACAGTACCTCTGAATTAGTCAGGAAAATTCTTTCTTCGTCACTGACCAGTTTTGAGGTGCCGTGTTTGACTGATGCAGTGGAAGCGTGGAAAATGGCTTGCCCACTTACGGATTTACCTGTTCACCCATCTTCTCAGAGACAGTGGGACGTGCCGCTGTGCAGTGTTATTCGTGAGTCTTTAATCAACTCGTCTCCTAATACTGCAGAGCGAGCTCGCTTATTGGCTGTGGGAGAATGGGAATCAGGATGTGGCTTCAGGCACTCCCGTCACCCTTCATAGGTACTATGTGGATGACATAACGTTCCGCCTAGCTGTATGCCTACGTTTAGGTGCTCCTTGTGTTTCTCCGCATTATTGTCACTGTGGAGAAAGAGTCGATGGCTTGGGACACCATGGTCTTTCTTGTTGCAGAAGTGCAGGCCGCATAGCTCGCCATGCCAGCATCAACGACATCATTCGTCGTGCTCTTGCCTCAGCCGGTGTACCAGCCGTATTAGAACCTAATGGTTTGGTACGTGATGACGGCAAAAGACCAGATGGTATGTCGTTGCTGCCTTGGAAGATGGGTAGGCCTTTGGTGTGGGACGCGACGTGTGTAGACACCCTTGCGCCATCACATCTTTTAAGCACCGCTGCATGCGTTGGTGCAGCTGCTTCCGCGGCAGAGGCCCTCAAACGGCGTAAATATTCAAATCTAGTGGGTAACTACTGTTTTGAGCCGTTTGGGGTCGAAACACTTGGGCCATGGGGTCCCAGTGCACACTCTGTGTTTAAAGACATCGCCCGTAGGCTTATCGACTCTACACGTGACCAGAGGGCTGGCTTTTTCTTCGGACAGAAAATAAGCATTGCCATTCAACGTGGCAATGCTGCCAGTCTTCTGGGAACTTTCCCCTGTGATAGTGATGCGGACGAATACTTTGACGCCTAAATTAAGGGTATAATTTTTGTTGTTTTCTTTTACTTTCTTTTTATTTAATAGTTTAGTTGTAGTTAATTTTAAGTTGTAAATATTTATGTAGTTATATAAATTATGATATTTAAATAAAAATTAAATTACGTAATCACAAAATTACAATAATATTTTTAATTGTATTTTTATTTTTGGGTGTAATTTGTTTACTAACAATAGTTTTTAAGTATTTTCATGTTACTAACAATTTATGGAGAAATCTGAAATAAATTCATATTATTATTATTATACTTGTATTTTAGGTTAAAACCTCACCCATTTCTGGGGAACTACACCATAGTTGCGGACTTTTGGTCAAAGCAACTTTGGGGGTGATACTTGTGATGATCTAATCTAATCTATTGATAAGAATTTTCGGACTATTCTGCATGTGTTGAGTATAACTGCTTTCTGTAGGAGTGTGAATGTGAGGGGATGTAAATCGAGGGTCTTTAGACTTGTGTGTAGTGTTTTGGGGATGACGCCTGTGCTGGATATAATAATAGGAATGGTCTTAACAGTGTGAACTTGCCATTGAGTTTTGAGCTCAATGGTCAAGTCTGTATATTTAGAGAGTTTGTTAGTGTGAGTCGAACTTAGGTTATGGGTGTTAGGTATGGCTATATCTATTAGATACACTATTTTGTTTTTCTTGTCGTGAAGTGTAATGTCAGGTCTGTTGTGATGTATGGTTTTGTCGGTTAGTATGGTTCTGTCCCAATACATTTTAAAATCGGGTGAATCTAGGATGATTTGGGGTGTGTACTTGTAGTATGGAGTTTTCTCTGCTATGAGTTTGTGTTTGAATGCGAGTGCTTGGTGTATGATAGCTGCAACCTGGTCGTGTCGGTGTTTGTAGTCTGTTTGTGTGATGGATGAGCATGCCCCTGTTATATGTTGGATCGTTTCAGGTTGTTTGTGGCAGTGCCGGCAATGGTCACTGCCAAGGATGCTATCGCGGATTATGTATTTTCTGTAGTTCTTGGTGTCAATCACTTGATCTTGAATGGCTAACATGAAAC